TGCGGAGTTTACACGTTCTCCCCGTGCTCACGTGGGTTTTCACCGGGTTCCCCGGTTTCCTCCCACCATCCAAAAACATGCAACTTCAGTTAATTGACTACTCCAAATCAGCACCACAGACATGCAAGTAGTTATCTCTTAAGAGCAATCACTATCTGTTCAGCTACTACAGCAGGGGAGTCCTCCAGATCTGCCTGAGCTCAAACTCCACTCTCGCCTTGCAAACAGGAGCGTGAGGATCTAATGAGCTCAGGGCTCTGAGCTCAAACTCCCCTCTCGCCTTGCAAACAGGAGCGAGCCCTGGGCTCGAGGATCTAATGAGCTCAGGGCTCTCTCCCAGGACAGCATGCCAAACAAGCTTAATAATCAATCTTCAGCTAAGTGTCAACTCTTAAATACGTTTTAGTTTTAAATCTCTGCATCTTTCACTCTATGCCATCTCTGCTTTTTTTTAGACTTCTTTATAATCTGTAAGAAGCAATGTCTTCTTCAGGTCATCCTGAAACAGAGTTCCTAGTAATTCCAGCTTAACCACAACTTTAATGTTCGACTAGGTTCTATAGTGTTGATAGCAACCATGGCAACGAGAAACCTGGGGGGTCGTTTTTGCTGACAAGGTGAGCTTCACTACCCATCATCACACTTTAAAATACCAGGAAAAGCAGAACTCCCCAGTCTTACTTCATTCACTAATCTGCTTCTCATGTGCTCTAATACAGCCTACATGTAGAAGGTAACAAGGGGTGATGTTTCCGATCAGAGCAAATCAAAAGTCACACTGACATTGTACTGAATTTAGCCAGAACCTTTTACTAAGCATCAGTTTAAACATTCCTTTATGAATTACAGCCATGCTGTCTTTTTTGTGATTGAGTGAAGCTGATTGAGAACGTGTATCTGCTCTTACCTGCATAACTCATGTAATTATTAAAGGGTGTGTGAACAAAGTTGCGGTTTCCACACGTTTCATTTCCAGGCTCGGGGTCCTTGCAGAGTTTGTATTTGGGTGTTGGGTTGGTGTCGGCACACAGATCTCCAGTTTCCAGCGAGGGCTCGGTCTCTAAACATGCATCATTGCAGGACTCGATCTCTGAGATCCCCCTGAACACGTGGTACAGTCCCAGACTGTGCCCGATCTCATGGATCATGGTGTGCGTGTGGCCAAAGGTACCATAGAAGGATGGATTCAGAACTATACCACCTGAAGAAGAAGAGAAGCACACACAGTAAACACTGATGTCTCGTGTGGAAATCTGATGTACAGAATGCTAATTACATACTCAGAAACAAGTATATAAATGGATTTCACATATATATATTCAAATATATATATATATATATATATATATATATATATATATATATATATATATATATATGAACAACATATTTCAGGGCAAAGCAGAAGTGCAGTAGGTAGTGCTGTCGCCTCACAGCAAGATGGTCGCTGGGTCGCTGGTTTGAGCCTCGGCTCAGTTGGCGTTTCTGTGTGGAGTTTGCATGTTCTTCCTGCGTTCGCGTGGGTTTCCTCCGGGCGCTCCGGTTTCCGGCACAGTCCAAAGACATGCGGTACAGGTGAATTCCGTAGTGTATGAGTGTGTGTGTGATTCTGTGTGTGGATGTTTCCCAGAGATGGGCTGCGGCTGGAAGGGCATCTGCTGCGTAAAAACTTGCTGGATAAGTTGGCGGTTCATTCTACTGTGGCGACCCCGGATTAATAAAGGGAATAAGCCGACAAGAAAATGAATGAATGAATGAATGAATGAACATATATCATCGAAAATAACTAGATTCATATTTTAAATTACATACACATTACATATATAGTTTGAAAATATACATAGTTTGAACTGCAGCACATCATCTTGACCATGTCTACATGCCCAAATGCATTGAGTTGCTGCTATTACACTGTAAAAAATAATTACGTAAAATTTACGGTAAAAAAAACGGCAGCTGTGGTTGCCAGTACTTTACCGTTAAAAAAGTGGTACAATCCGTACCAGTAATTTTTCATTTTTTACGGTAAATTACCGTATTTTATTAATTTATAGATGTAAAATGTCTGTATTTTGAATGATCAACATTTACACATCTTTTGTTAAACCGTTAGACATGTTAGCACACCCACATGCAGGTGGTGATGAGGAAGTTATATAATGAGCCAAAGCTCATCACAATCAACTTTTCCCATAAGCAGAAAAGAGTATCAGCGTATAGAAGGTGCTCAGAGTCATTCACACAGCTACTAAACAGCAGTATGGTAACACACATAAAATTAAAGTCATGAAATAAACATTGTTATCAACATTAGATGTAACATAAATCTCTAATGTACATAACTGATGGGGAAACAACTAAAAAGATCCACAATAATGTCAACAAAATGCTAAAAAATTGATGTGCCGTGCAGGGAATTCTGGGAAAGTCAATTTATGGTTATTCGCTGTATATATTAAGGAAATATACCGTTAACCAGGTTACGGATTTGTTCTGTACCATTTTTACAGCTTTTTACCGTTGAAATCACGGCCATTCTTTACAGTGTAGATTAGAAATTTGCGTTAACGGGCAGTTGGACAGGTGTACCTAATAAAGTGACCAGTGACTGTATATACATGTGAAATCTAAATGTTTACTTTAGTGTCATATAAGTCATTTGCATATATCTCCATGTATTAGAATATCTATATGGGGTACTTTTACATAAAAAAAACTTGTTTCTTACAACACTTGTCAACCCAAGCTCATTCTGAAAGTGTAGCCCCCGCGGATGTTTCTGGAGACCGCGATTTACGTGGTGCGTATGGCTGCATTGCATTTTTTCAAGCGAACACTATGGGGTGGTGTGACCCCTCTCCTCTTTGCGCTCACCAGCTGACGGCTCACCTCCGTGAGGAGGGCTTTCACGCTGCAACCAGTTTGTCCGGTTAGCTCGTCTTGTTATGACGGCGGAGCTGAGGCCCAGAGGAAGAGCCGGCCGAGGCGACGACCAGGTTCGAGCCCAGGTAAGAGCGGTTCCAGAAATCAGACAAAAACAGAACCCAAAAATAAAGGGAACGAGTTTATAACGAGGCGGGAATGCAGTGAAATCCGAATATGCGGTCAAGATCGGACCAGGGCTTTTCTTGTTCTAGACGGCTTTTGTAAATCGTCGCTTGGGTTTAGGGGAGGAGGAGGAGGGTGGCTGGGTCAGCCGATTGGCCGGCCTCCCAGTCCATCCCTCAGTCATTCAGTCAGTCAGTCAGTCAGTCGGACAGACGGTCGCTCGACAGCAGCCTCCGGCAGCTTTTTACGCGAGAACAGCGCGGGCGCGAACGGCACGCGCTCGCGAGAGGTGTTCGAGGTGTGAAAAAGTGCGCACATCGGCTTCTCACGGATTTGCGAAAACAAACTGCACAAATACGAACCTCCCAGGATGTATTTCGCGGTCTCCAGAAACGTCCGCGGGGCTATGTTTCCAGAATGAGCCTGGGTTGGTAATTTTTATAGTTTTTACCATTTCGATACCAAATAACTGAAACAAAAGTCTGAATGCGATGCGAACGGCATCCTTGAAATGTCAGATCATTGCACTTGCATATACAGTAAATGTGTCTTCACTTCTTCTGCTTATGCAGCTATTACGCTTCAATTTGCTTTGATTATTTACTCTAAACCTCCAACAGAATGATTTATACCGCCCTTAACATGAACAAACACTTGTTGAGAAGAGGAACCACTGAAATAATGTCACAGAGTGACAGAGCGCGGCGTTCAGCATCAGATGATTTAGGAATATAACTCAAACATGTATGCAGTAATTTCTCCGTACCGAGATGCGCCAGCGCGTCCTTATCCCACGGCCAGGTGGCGACTCCAGCCAGATCTTCATCGGAGGAATTGGCGAAGAAGATATTGAGGTGTGTGGAGCCGTCCAGCTTGAGGATCTCTTTCAGCTCCTTCACATCTAGATAGGCCCTGGAGTCACAGATGGAGAGGGAGAGTGAACATACGCGTATGTCTAGATTCATCTCAATTACTAGTTATTTAAGTTTGTGCGAAATCAAAATGTACAATGTTTATTTTGCTAGCGCACATATTTATTCTAGTAGCTAATTCACTGAAATACACGTTAGTTTTGTTCTTCTTCAATCAAAGTCTGCACATCTGCTTCTGTGTCTTGAATTGGCTCCTACTACATGATGTGTTAGTTTGACGGCTCCAGCCACTGTATTATAAGCCACGCCCCTCTTACTGTTAGTTTAAGCAGATGATGTGCAAGTAGAAAGCCCCGCCCCCTACTCAATATTCCGTTTCAGTTGGAAGTACATCAACATACTAAAAAGTCTCAGCAACTTCCAGTTCATGCTGCCTGCATTCATTCATTCATTCATTCATTTATTCATTCATTCATTCATTCATTCATTCATTTTCTTGTCTGCTTAGTCCTTTTATTAATCCGGGGTTGCCACAGTGTAATGAACCGCCAACTTATCCAGCACTTTTTTCCGCAGCCGATGCCCTTCCAGCCGCAACCCGTCTCTGGGAAATTCATGCTGGCTTTTTTATTTTAATTTATCTTTCACATTGTTTTTCAGAGTGTAAATGTGTACTTGTGTACCAATCATTAGGAGAATACCTAAATTAGTAATCTAAATCACAAAATTCATACTGAGTGATGAAGTTCTGTCTATGTTGTCATCTGATTTATTTCATTGACCCAGTCACTGTTTATTACACACTTATTATGACAATGCTTTGAAATCAGAATATGTAAGTTAAACAGTGAAGAAAAGATTTATGCGATTTGATAGCTTGATTCTATTTCATTCATTCATTCATTTTCTTGTCGCCTTAGTCCCTTTATTAATCCGGAGTCGCCACAGCGGAATGAACTGCCAACTTATCCAGCAAGTTTTAAGCCCTTCCAGCCGCAACCCCATCTCTGGGAAACATCCACACACACACTCATACACTTTGGACGATTTAGCCTACCTAATTTCACTGTACCGCATGTC